AAAAAGAATGGTTTCACCTAGTATTTGAGAGTTATCAGTCCACACAGGTAAACCAGACAAAAGTACAACCAGACATGACATTTATTGAAGAACTATATTAATAGCATCTTTCAAACATGAAAGTACAAATCTTTCACTGTGGCTTTAACTGCCTGGCCCATTATGGCCGGTCTTTCCTAGGTTTCTTTCTGACCATTACAAAATGGTGAGCTCCCTCCTCTTTAAACTGATCTTTTGCCAGGCAACATCTCTTCCTTTTCTTGAAGGTCATTCTCATAAATCATTACAACAGTTTAGTTTTTCCTGTTTCAACAGTATTGACACTAATACACTTTTGAGGTTCTACTTTTGCCAAAGGAAGTGACATAATTACTTACAACTACTTGAGTTTCAACTCTTTAATTATCAACAATTATTTCACCCAACAGCAATCTTCAAACGTATTAGTGCCACCCAGCAAGTCAGCACATTATGGAAGAAAGAGGAAGATAATTCATTCTCTTCATGTTCTTATTTCTTGGCTGTGCTTCTATGTTCTGGAAGGTTTGATTAATTTTACTAAACAGATCCCTTTGCCACTGGATTTGCTCCTCCTTTGAGCAATTTGTCAGTTGTTTCATACTAGCAAGATGAATGAAAACATAGGCAGTCTACTTTTATTCTCCTTGTCTCTCTTTCTGTGTGTTCCTGCTGTTTGTTTTTACACTTAACTGATAATCCTTATTTCCCCAGAGCTTGTGGAACAGGTGTTCAACTTGGTCTAAACCGCCTTTAGAATTTTTTTAGAAAAACATAGAAATTGAACATGGGTACACAGGTAGGTGTATGCTTTTTAAAATTATTCTTTGTCAATAAGTGTTTTTATTTATATATTATGTTTAAGGTAGCCCTTACTATGTATCCAGTTCCCTTAACAGAGTTTTTGGTTATCCACCTCTCCTGTTTTGTTACTATTTTGATCATTTATAAATAAGCCCTTTTAACATGTTACCCTACTTCTCAGCCCCACATGTTACATGGGCCATCTGTTTAATTTTAGAAACTTCCCTCATCCACTTTCTTTCATTTTTCTAAAAATGGATCATGGTAAAAATGGTAAAGAAGAGCATATTTCAAGAAAAGTTGTAGGCTCAAAGCACATCAATTTTCTTAAAAATAACTCTTAATCCTTACAGTGCTTTTTAAAATTTTTATTACTGTATAATGCAACTCCTTTGATTGGCAGCAGAATAAAGTATTAATTGTATCAAAGACAATTACTTAAAAATAGGTATCTGAAATGGCATTTTATAAAAAATTGTTTAGTCATTTGTTTGCAATCAGGCACTTAACTGGTATTGCAACAATCATTTCAGGAGTTTTACCCTCGAGTAAAAGAAGGTACTCAGTTTATTGAAATTTGGAGGCTTGCCATTGTGCTAAATTTCATGTAAAGTCACTTACCAAAACTAACCTAATTCTGTTTCTGGCACATTTTATCCTATTTCCCTTTTTAATAATTCATTTTAAATATTTTATGAAATAAGAATATAAAAAAGCAAAGAAGAGAAATATTGAGCTTATTCATTTATAACCTGAGCAGAAGCTGCAATTGTGATGCTACAAATATGCTGCTACAAATATCCTTGTAATAAGGATATTTATTTCATTTAAATTTATTGACTGTCCACATCCAATGATCTCCTGACTGCAGACAAAACTAAGAGATTTAAAACCAGCTAAAAATATTAAATAAACATAGTTTGAACTAACATGCTTTCATGACTAAATCCACAATTGACTGAGAAGTTCACAGGATGATATAAGATTAAAAATGAAGGTAGCTTGAGTTATGACCACTCATTCAAAGACTATACAAATTTAAGACACTCCATGAGTAGTACCTATGACGGGTCCTTGAAGTTCCAACTGTTGCAGAACCCTGAAGTCACAATTGCAATTGGGGCACTTGGTAACTGGTTCACATTTATGACAGTTGCAGTATTCTACAATTCCATGATTGCCATTTGTGACTTTTCCTGCTAGCTTCCCACAAGCAAAGTGAATGGGAAAACTGGCAGAGAGAGAGAGTAGTTTTTCCCCCCTCTCAAGGAATCCCAATATGGAGAACTACATTCCAGGAATGTCATACTCCATATTTTTTTTTTATTTTTTTTTGAAGGGTTTTGCATACTTCTTAACATATACTTATGAAATGGGAATATTATCCTAATCCAACTATAATGTACTACAATATCTAACACACTTCTTTTATTATTAATAGGAGTCAGATGACTGAACACATTTACCTTCATTCTTTTAAAAAATTGTACTGTCACAAACCTACAGTTTAATCCCATTGTGCTCAAACACCACACCAAGTAATAGCCCATCAATCTAAATACTAAGGTTTATTTTTCACTCAAATCTACTGAAGTAAATTAATAATTCATAAAGAATTTTTCTGGAGCTATAAAGCAAATAGCACAAAACCAGTTCTTCAAAAACGAAACCAGGTATAGTGAATGGCTGTTTAATGCTACATTTTAAATACAGATTATACTGAAGTGGAAGAAAAGTGTTACAGCTTTGAAAATGTATTAATTTTTTTTTTTAAAGAACTGCAGTGAACACTAACTTATTTCACAATTTGAATTATTCATCTGTAATGTATTAAAATAGAAAATACCTACTAAATTTCACATAGAAAATATGACTACAAGTTATAAAATACTGAAAATATTTAAGCACCAGAATATCAGTATTTGACATTTTTATGGATTTTTCAGGAAAATATTCAATAAAGTGCAATTAATTTCATTCCAACATCGTAAGTATTTTCTAAAAATATTTTTAACATTTAAGACTAGAATGATCCTCTATTTTATAATTAGGTATAGTAATGAACAGCAGAAATTTATTGAAAGCAAGCACACACCTCAGATTTGAGATGAGAAACAAATGATTCAAACAGTTTGGCTTCCTTGTGGAAATGAAAGTGATATATTTTTTAAAATAAAGAAGATAACCTGAGTGAATCCCAGAAAATTGTGTAGCTTGTGACCAACAGCTAAACATGACAAATCAGTACAGAATAGATCCAGGAACACAAAAGGTAGCCTTGAAAATGTATTTCATTATTACATAAATGTTACACAATAATTACACAATTAATTGCCCTACCAATTATGCCTATTGATAAAATTCTTAGTGAGTTTCAGTATGTCTTTCTCTAGGAGTAAAAATAAGGTCAACTAGACTCAATGACAGCAGGGCAGTATTTTTTAAAATGGGGTTTTCCAAATTAGTTTTCTGTTACCAGCAGAATGAACAAATCATAATTATACCCATTAAAGTTGCACATCCAATATAGTTAAGCGCATAAGCCTTTTGAAACTCTATAAACTTACAAGAATGCATTAGAAGTGTCCTAATTACAATGGCAATGACTATAGAGAAAAAACGGTGTACAAGACGTACATTTGTAACAGCAGTTGCATTTTATAACAAAAATGTGTTCTGCCCTGAATGCTAGTTTTTGCTACAGGTATTATCCAATAATTTCCCTACATATGGAGAATTTGGGGTAATCTGAGATTTTTAAAATAATAAAGGAATACTCTGACAACCTAATAAAAATCTCTGTACAAATGTTTACTTCATTTGCATAATGGCAAATGAGAAATTCTTAGATATGATATGCTCTAGATTTATGTTTTGCAGGGGTGGGGGCCATCATGTCCCACCTGTTTTACAGTATTTTGCAGTATGACAAAAACATTCAGAACTGATTTTAAGGCTTGTTTGAACCATATATCTACATTTGTCTCAGCTTGACAAGAACTAAATGATTCCACATTAATAAATGTGGGTAGCTGGTAGATGTTTATCAGCTTCCATTCATTTTCATAAAATGTTGAGCCTAATTAAGTGCAAAGAATATTTGAGAGATATTTATTCATGTTTTAAAATGTTTCAAAATTATGCGTTTTCATGAATCTTCATATATATATTCAAGTTTTCGCGGGTACTTACATGTATGGCATTCAGCTTTGTTCGGGTATTTTCCCACGTCATTGTAGTTGTGCTTTTAAAGTTGTAGCAACGTTTCGGCAGAATCTCATCTGCCATCAGAATACTCATATACTACAGAAGCCTGATGATGGCAGATGAGATTCTGCCGAAACGTTGCTACAACTTTAAAAGCACAACTACAATGACGTGGGAAAATACCCGAACAAAGCTGAATGCACTTTTATATATATAAAATCTTTCATTCCAAACTGTAGGAATCATAATTTATGATATTCTACCAGTTATCCCAAGATTACTAAAAATGTATTTAGGATATATTGAGATCAATGTGTGACTGTTATTTTGCAGACATATTTTCACTAAAAAGGATACTGAAATCATAGTACTGTATATAGCACCTTTCTACGTGAAACAAGTTACAAGAGTCTTATAAGAATATCTTTGGAACTATGGTAGCTACTTCTGGGTAATAGAGCTATATTGACTGCAAATAGTTGAGTGTAAACTAGTTGTAATATTTTTGGAAGATATGAATAAGAATTAGGAATGAGTTCTTCATTTTAACAGTTTTAAACTGTTCATGGGCCATGATGGTACTTGACACCGGGACATTATGGTAAATGAAATTCTAGTCTGCTATTCCCCAATTACATTTCAAAGGAAATGTTACATTTCATGCACAAAATTAAGCATGACAGATATAAAGAGAAAATTGTATTTTCACTTTGTTAGTATGGTGTCCAGTGGAAAGACTCTTACCTCGTTTTTAACATTAATAAATTAACAAAATCATATTTGCTGATTAAAGGCAAAGATCACATTATTCCTTTTTTATTTTGTAAGAAAATCTAAATAGATCTCACTTTTGGCCAATAAGCAGGGCCAATCGTGTAATACTGGTTCTTTGCTTTTTTTACAGCACAATTGCATAGATGTGACATTATATTTAGCTTCCTGGAGCACACAACAAAAAGAAGCAAACAATAGTGACTAGGATAAAGACTAGGAAAAGTGTAAGTTGTTGGAACCAGACACAACGATCAATCTGTCCTTGAAGTCTTTTATTAGCTTGTAGTAGTTGCTTTAACTGGAAAAAAAAGGGACAAATAGAAGATGTTATCAAAAAGAAGTATTCTTCCCAGTTGATTTTGTCTATAATTTACCAACATACAATACAGTTGGGATATAAATAGTTAGAAACATTTGTAAATCTTTTTTAAAACCACCAAATCACACACATAAGCCAAACTATAAAAGAAACAAAAGAATGTATTTCAGTCACATGTATCAAAAGTATTTTAAGGAAAGGCACAATTTTACAATTTAATGGTTTGAATATATTAAAAAAACTAGTTTGGAAGTATAGATGTATTGATTTTAATTTTGTATATCAGAATTATTTTTTCATTTTAAAAGAAAAAAAAATCTACTAAATCAAATGCAACAGAAAAGATGAGTTTTAAGGGTTCCTCATGTAAATGTGACTAAGATCAAAACTTTTTAAAGTATGGTTCTTCTAAGTTTCTGTTGTTTTATCTAAAAAGTGATGTTACAGGATTCAGTTCATACAAAGAAAGAAAGAAGCCTACAGGAAAGCCTTGAATTTCATAATAAAGACCAGCGTATGTGTGAATGAAAATGCATGTTTTGAACATTCAATCGTCTTAGAAAGAATCTGTTACTTTCAGGAGGAAATCAATTTCAAGGTGAACAGGGGAGGCAATTTTTATGTTTTAATATAAATGTATGTTTAAGAATGAAATTTTATAGAAATATATCTAATATTATGGAAATTAATTAAGAATGGAAGCTGAAAACCTAAAAGTTGTATGTGTCTGCATGTAATATATAGTACTGGAAAGCAGCTGATTTTCTGCTATGTCAGCACTTTGGAAATGTCAACAGCTTTTTGGAGCCTGCCTTTTCAAGAGATTTTGGTGGGTGGGAGATAGACTAAAAAAATCCCATTTTTTTTTTATTTCTCTAGCTATGGTGTACTTAAGGAATGGTAGCATAATTGAAATAAAAGTAATAATAATAGTCATATGTGTTACCTGAAAGTGTAAATCTTCATTGGTTTTTGAAGGACTGTTAAAGGCATTTTCATTTATGGTTAAAGAAGAAGGCTTGCTACTTTCTACAACATGGCATTTTAACCTGAAAGAGAAAGCAATTATTTTGAGTTCAGTTCTACAGAATTATAGTTGTTTTGTTCCCTGGGTTTCCATTTTTTTATCTTAATTTTTTAAATATATTTATAATGTTTTTAATGTCCCCCCTTATACTCTGTGGCATTAAAATCAAACAGAAGAGCATCCAGAAAATCAAATTATCACTGAACCAGTATACCAAGCAGGATATGGGAATGGGGCAAGACACTGCACAAAACAGAAATATTCCTTTTTGTAAAGGAATGTACTTGATGGATATAAACTCAAAACATATGTACATACATAAAGTGTGAGCAAGACAAACTGATGAGGTGAAAACAATTAACTGAATTTTCTTGGCTTCTCTTTTCTACAGTGTAGACATTGAAATGCAATAAGAACAGACAAGACGAAAAGGAAACTGCAGAATGTTTATTGACAGGATATACTTGTACATAGAAATGCCTCCTTTCCCAAAAGTTTGGCTGAGCCAAGAAAAAGACCACTTTTTTTTCTATTTGAACTGTTTACAGCTCTAGGCACTGTTTTGTTTTTTGTTTAGCAATTTACAATGTTTGGTTTTATGCAAAACTAGCTTTGCAATATTTAGCCAATTTTGACGGGTCTTAGAAGGTAAGTAAGATTCACTCTGGTTAATACTTGAACAATAAACCACCAGGAAATGTCAGGTTTGATTGAGAAGAAAACATTCTAGAACAGGGGTGGGCAAACTACGGCCCGCGGGCCACATCCGGCCCGTTGGTCTGTCCAATCCGGCCCGCCCCTGAAAAAAAATAGCTGGGCGTGGTGTATTGCCCTATGCCGCGTGACCCCAAAGTTGCAAAACAGTGCGGAGCGCTCTCGGGGTAGGAAAGAAAAGAACTTTGCAAAGGCCTCGGCTGGGAGTTCGAAATCACCTTCGAGTGCGACCTCTCTGAAGGTGAGTCCCCGCTGATCCCCCTTTTTTCCGGGGCTTCCAGGCTTAAACTTTGCAAAGGCAAAGTTTGCAGGCTGGAGCGTCTTCCCGCCGAGGAGTGGGAAGGGTTCCGCCCGGCGGGCGGGCGGGCTGCTTAAACTTTGCTCGGGCGGCACTTTAAAAGCCTGCTCCCAGCACCTGAGCAACTTCCCAGCAACTTTCGGCTTCCTTTTAACTCGCGGGCGCTCGCGCCTGGCCCCGAGCCGCGTGGCGGAGGGGAAGCCCAGCGGGTGGGCGGGCTGCTTGGAGGAGGCGACCCGGCGGTGCTCCGGCAGCAGCAACAGGCAGTTCCGCCCGGGCTCCGCTCAGGTGTCCGGCTGGGGCTATCAGGAGTTGCTACCGCTGGCGCAGCTCCACGTGGCTCCAGTCCCGCGTTGCCTTGGGAAGGAAAAGGCAAAACCAGGAGCCGCTGAGCCTGAGCCTCCGGTGCCGCTGCTCCCGTTGCAAAGCACCGCCGCGGCTCTTCCTTTTTGCCTTTCCCTTCCCGAGGCAACGCGGGACTGGAGCCGCACGGAGCCGCGCCGGCGGTAGCAACTCCTGACTCAGGGGGCCTCCGAGGGGAGGGGAAGGAGGAGAAGAGGGGGGGACGATTCCCAAAAAATCTTGTGCTGACCCGGCCCTTCTGTCAAATTTTAAAAGTCAATGCGGCCCCCGAGCCAAAAAGTTTGCCCACCCGTTCTAGAAGAAGGCATATAATGATGTCAATTTGAAAGTCAATATAAAATGTTTACCTATGCTCCATCACTTTGTTTCTAGGAATTTCCTTCCAAAATTGAGATAGTTCCTGTGCTCCTATTCCAGAGCACTGTTCCATTTCTGCTGCCAAAATTAGAAAACGGTCTTGCAAAGAAGCTGCACAACCTATTCAACCAACAGACAGCCTAATAAAAATTATTGTATTTCATTTAGATATAATCAATAGCCCATGGGGAAATATTACATTTTAATAGATGTGTACATACTATGTATACTACATAGTTAATTTACTTCAACAAATGTAACACAGTGAATACTCAACACAAATGTGCAACTCCCAAATTTCACAAAACTCTTGTGACTTTATGGACTCTAAACTTGACAATGTATTTAGCCAGGTGGGAAACTTCAGAAAGAATAGTCTGAGTGGATGATCTTACAAGACTGATGGACAGTAAGGTAACTTACGTTCAAAATGTTTAAGTTAATTGAAATATCAATATTTTCAGTGTAGAAATCTACTTAGAATAAATACATCTAGAGTTTAACCGAATTATTTTATTTATTTTGCTATTATAATGTCCTAAATAATTTTTAGTCACTAATTTATCAATGAGAAAGACATGTAAAATACTTCCAACTAAAATCAAGTTGCTATAAATTTTAAAAATGAACAGGGCACATTTGCACATATTTTATATTTTTGTATACTATATGGTAATGAAGGATATTTAAAATATTAATCAGCATTAGCATAATTTAGTAAATTAAATTCTAGGGTACAACAAAATTTATTTTTCTAAGCTTAATGTTTTTCAAATTTAAAATGGTTTTAAATAGCTCATAACTTGAAAATGCATGAAAAATTAATAGTTTATTTTTATGAAATTGAAAAAACTTTGGATATATTTTAAGAAAGGTATTAGAAGACAGTAATGTGTAAGTAAAGGACTGAGAATTTAGATTTTACCATTTTCTGGCTGCTTTATTTCAAGATTAGGAGCAGTTTTGATGCTCTTTCTTCTCCCATTCAAACAAACATAATATGGGGATAATTGAACTGAGTTATTTTAATTAAGGCAGAATTTAAAAGCTGCCATTTAAATTTAAATAGACGATCTGATTTCAACAATACCTTCTTTCCAGAACTCATACAAAAATTATCAACTTTCTCAAGGCAAAGTATATTAGACAATGATTGCATTCTATATGTAAATAGCAATGCAGTTTGTTACTCACCACCATGAAGAGATACAACAATATCTACTGAAGTACCAGGTTCACAACTGCTGTTACTTGGCTTTACTCTGTACTTGTCAGGAGCAGTTGTTCTCACCTATATGAAGGACATTCACATTAATAACAAGAGTTCTCTCCTAAACCATTTTATATCTGAAGTCTGTTTCTATTTTTAAAGAAGCTGTTTTGAATTGAGTTTTGATTTTTTTTTCATATCTTTATAAGGAATGAAGCAAATATTTTAAAACATGCATTTTGTAGTTTAACATTCAGTTAATTGTAATGCAACCTGTTTAGCTCTGTGGTTTATAAGCTCCACATTTGTCTTCAGACCGACAAAATTCAGTACAAGAAAAATAAACTACCTCTTTCCCTAGTACTCATTTGGATTTTCCTTGAAATTCACAATCATGACAAACAGATAATAATGATTCAGCCCAAAGGATTCTTCCAACTAGGGAATATTACTCAGGTAACTTGACTCTTTACTGATGATATAGAGCCACCCAAGGAACTACAGAGAAAAATCAGATTTCTGAACCCCATGACTGAAAGTATTTTTTAAAAGCAAGAATGCAAATATACATGTGTGTGTGTATGTGTGTGTGTGTGTAGGTCCAGGTGTGTTCGGGTCTTTTCCCATGTAAGATTAAGAGTATCTTGGCGAGTATTTCGGCGAGGTCCCACTCGCCATCCTCATGCTGGTGCTTTTGGCTTCGTGCCAGTGCAAGCAGTGTGTGATCGGAGCTGCCGTCTCTCTATAAATACTGGTGGTGGGTGCTGGTGTGCTGGGCTGGTTGGCTGCGCTGCTGCCTCTTGATTGGTTGATGGAGTTGATGTTGGTATAATGGGATGTGTGATGGCCTTGTGAGTTTTGTTGTGGAGATATCCTGGATCTTGTGCTGTAATCTCCTGGGTCGTTTGTTTTGTAGTGATCTTTTTTCCATTAGCCTCTTGTGTTTTAACGGCTTGGGTAATGGGTTGTGTGATGGGCTTGCGAGTTCTTTTGTTGTGGTATCCTGGGTCCTGCGTTGTAATCTCCTGGGTCATTTGTGTTTTGATCTCTTTTCCATTAGCCTCCTGTGTTGTAACGGCTTGGGTAATGGGTTGTGTGATGACCTTGTGAGTTTTATTGCTGTGGTATCCTTGGTCTTGTGCTGTGATTTTCTGGGTCATTTGCTGTGTTGCAACTTCTTGAGTTCTTGTGGTATAATTTCCTGAGTTTTCTGATGTGATATACTGAGCAGGTGGCTGTGATGTAGCATTCTGGGTTTTGGTCTGGCTGCGAGTTTGGGGTCTGGGTCTGTGTTCTTGGAGTGTGTCAGCTTGTTTGGTTTTGGGGTTGGGGGGGTGCGACAGCTGGCGAAGCAGCCGTAGTCTGGTTTCTGGATGGTGGTTGTCCTTCATTTATAGGATAGGTTTGGGCTTGGGTCTGATGAGGGGGATTGGCGGTGGTGTCCCGTGTTGTTTTGGGTCTGGTGTTGGTTTTCATGGCTGGGACTTGTTTGTTGGTGAGGGCTAGTTTCCAGATGTCTGGTAGGCGGGAGGTATCATCTCGTTTATTCATGTTATGGGGGTGTTTCTCTATTTCGAGAATAGAGAATATACTAAATATATACTAAATATACTAAAACATATACTAAATATTCTAAAACATATATATATATATGGATCTTTGGTTATTCAGGTTTTCTCCCGCGTAAAATTGGAAGTATTTTGCCGACGTTTCGACGAAATTTCATTCGTCATCTTCAGGCTTGTGTCTTCGGCTTTAAAAATGAAACGTCGCCAAAATACTTCCAATCTATACAGAAGCCTGATGATGGCAGATGAGATTCTGCCGAAACGTTGCTACAACTTTAAAAGCACAACTACTATGACGTGGGAAAATACCCGAACAATGCCATACATGTAAGTACCCGTGAAAACTTAAGAAAACACACACACATATATATATGCATATATGCATATATACATATATGCATATATACATACATACATACATATACATATACATATACATATACATATACATATACATATACATATACATATATATATATATATATATATATATATATATATATACCGTCTATCTACCATCTAAATAAGTTAACTATAAAAACTGCATTATTTACCTTAAATGCCACTGCATTTTTAGTAACATTTGTCAGAACTATCAAACATTTCTTCTCTGCGGTTTCTTTGGACCCAAAATGCAATTCCTCTGCTGGACTATTGAAAAATATAACATTTTCTACAATAATTATTTAGAAAGATTGCATTTTCTTTAAAATAGTTAAATTTACTTAAAAGATATGTGATTTATCAGGCTCAAAGACAATATCTCAAAAGCATTAATATTTAAAGAGTATTTTAAAAGCTTTTAATAATACTTCAGGTGATTTTTTTACAATACACAGTATCATGTGCAATGGAGATAAAAATCTCCTTTGCATTCCAAAATATGAAACATTGTTAAAATAATGCACCATTTCAAAACATGCATTATTTGAAAAAATACAATTGGACTCCAATGAATGGAGGGCAAAGCAATCATAATATTTAGAGCAAGTAACAAAAAGTCTTCTCAAGTTTTTTGTTTGTTTTTTAAGTCATGCCCTGTGCTTCACAACAATATGTTATCTTGTTGAACAAGGATGATGGATGTTATAATTTGATATATTAGTGTGCCTTATTGGAAAAGGCTAGCCCATTAGCTTATTTAGTATAGCAGCAGCTCTTCAAAGTGTTTCCCTATACCATGAAATAATTTTTAGAAAAAGTAGAAAATAACTTGAAGATGTGCAAATTGATCTTCAATATTGGAAGTTAAAGTGATTTTTTCACATTATCTGCCAATATATAGCAGAAATACTGGTAATTTGCATACTGAACCTATTGGCTTTAAAAATATACCTTACATGGAACCAAGGAATTTGCAGTAATAAGATTTATAAATATTTTAAATGTTAACTGTCCATGCCATCTTAGAAATGGCATCCTACACTTCTGTTATAGTTAAAAAGTGAACTGTCATAGTTAAAAAATTATAGTTAAAAAGTGAACTGTGTACACTATTACTGTTAATCTTCTCACCACTCCTTATCACCCATTCCCTCCCACTTGACTGTTTCCTAGTATGATTTGATTGTTGATTGTACCCTATGACTATCATTAAGTGTTGTACGGTTTGATTCTTGATTCTTAATGAATGTACCTTTTCTTTATGTATACTGAGAGTATTTACACCAAGACAAATTCCTTTTGTGTCCAATCACACTTGGCCAATAAAGTATTCTATTCTATTCTATTCTATTCTATTCTATTCTATTCTATTCTATTCTATTCTATTCTATTCTATTCTATTCTTAGTCATTCAGTAATCACAATCCATACTTTGTAACACATACTGTTATTAGAATAGAGAATTTTTCACATTAGTTTCTATAAAGGACTTCAAAAAGCTTAAAGAAAGTGAGGCATAATTACATTTATTTTGTTCCAAACTGGGAACCCAGTCTTCAGAAGCTGTCTTGTCCAAAATGACCTACTTCTTCAACTGAGGCTGTGCTGCTGTTAAAACATGTAAAAGTCTATAACTTGAGGATGATTATTACTGTTATTTACCTGATATGCAATAAAGATCCTTTAAAAGTGGTAAGTGCTTTCTTGGCATTTTTTGTTTTAGAATCTAATTTGTCACACTCTTCTGATTTTGGAGTTTGTTCTGAAGTATTTGCCTAAGCGAGCAAACAAAAACAGCAGCTATGTATATTCAGAGTTAATTATTTTGTACAATAGAATAAAATGGTACAACTAAATTTTTAGCTATTGAATTATAGTACATCAAAAATAAGAATACCAAATGTAAGTAGGGCCATATCATAAAGAGAGAGAGAAGGGGGGGGGGGGGGAGAAATGTAGGATATATAGTTTATCCTACTATGTACTGATGTATGTTTCAAACACTGCAAAATTTTATAGAAATGTTTTTTCACAATCTTGAAAAAAACTGGTTGTCCTTGGTACTATAAGTAATGTATCATGTATCCTAAATCTCCAAAACAAAGATGATACTCTGATAAACACTGGGACATGAAATTTTATAGAAAAGAAACTGGATTCAATTAGAAACAATCCCAAAAGTCATGTGGGTGGAACAGTTAACCTGATTCGCTTTTTAAGTGGCTCCTTTTCAACTGAACAGTTTTTGATGCAGCAGAAGGTGAAATTGTTTGCTTGTTTGTTTTCATAAATCTAGAATCTACAAGGTTCAGAGGATTTGGTGGACTACCAAATGGCAGAACAATCTCTCTTTGCTGCTAACACTGGAAAGGAAGTGCTAGGTTCTTGAAAAATCTGACTCGGTGTTTAAAGAAACATACACCTTCTACCAACTGCACTTGGAGGGAGAGAACAGTGAGGCCCCTAGCAAGCTGGCTGGAGAAAATGGCAAGCTTGAGAACTGGGTTGAACTGTGGGCTGCAGTTTCTAGCAGATAAAAGATTTTATTCTAAGAAATACACTATGATTGCCAGCACTATAGATGATCATTTATATTGTGAGTATCATGATGGTTTTACATAAATCTTTTATAGCTATACATGGACACTTTTGTTTACTGTACGTTGGAAAGCATTTTATGAAGATGGAAAAGACAGAAAAGGCTTGCCAAAATGATCAGAAGATTAGCATAATTTTGTGTGGAAAGGGTACAAAATTTAGGTACTATTTAATTTAAATTTTTTTTTAGTACATATATATATAAAAATCCAGGGCATCCAAAAACAACAGTGGAAAGAAAAGACAAGAAAATGTTGTGTAAAATTTGCTACATAACCTTTGATGGAGGCTACACATTTAGTTTTGAGGGGGGGTAAGAAGGTTGACTCAGCCTTCCATTCTTCTGAGGTTAGTAAAATGAGGTCCCAAGATTGTTGGGGGCAAGATGCTGACTCTTTAATAGCTTAGAAAGGGCTGCAAAGCACTGTAAAGCAGTATGTAAGTCTAAGTGCTATTGCTATTGATGTAACATAAGGCCACTGATACCTATTAGTTATGCTTGACTGATTTTTCTGAAAATATGACAAGCAACAAGAGCAGAAGGTAAGTACAGTACAGCTTTTTATGTCATGTGCTTTATTAAGTTTATATATTGTAGGACACAAATTTTGGTCTAATATAGCTCTTTTTAAGACAAATTACTGTTACTATTGCTATATTTTTCCTTTTTTTAATAGAATACAAGAACAATACAATATGTCACAATCCTTGCTTTGAATTACTAGCAATGGTAGGTAGATTTTGATGTTAAGAAGACATCAGCAAAAAATGACGAGAATCTTATAATTCTAATCTTACCCCTAACCATTTGTATATTTAAATGAAACTAGTGAACAGATAAAAGTTAAAATTTTGGCAGATAATAAAGTGATTGAAAAGTGGCAAAATGGTCTGTATGTCTTTCATGAGCCTTGGGGGAAACTAAAGATTTCATGCATTGCTGCAAGGCTTTCAAATTCAGTGTCATCTTTACCTTCTAACATAATACTACACTCTATTAATTAATGAGCAGATATGAGTATGCATGGAAGGAAATATAAAGTATTGCACTAGAATATTTCTGATCGTGGTTATTATACTTTGATAAAACTAATAAAAAACTAATAAAAGCCAGAGAGAATAGATATCTGTCTCCATGATCGTAAGTAAAACCATGTTAAAGTGTGAAGGAATATATTTGGAAGCTGAATACATTGATGAGTGGAAAGGCTAGTCTGCCAAAGAGAAAAAAAAAGCAGCCACACAGTTAATCCTCCATAATAGCCCATGCATTGCATGGTAAGAAATATAGGTAGTCCTTGATTTATAACCATTCATTTAGTGGTCGTTTAAGTTACAACACTAAAAAAAGTGACTTATGAACATTTTTCATATTTGCAACTGTTGCAGAATCCCCATGGTCACATGATCTAAATTTGAGTGCTTGGCATTTATTTGACAGTTACACTGTCCTAGGGTCATGCGATCTATTTGTAACCTTCCCAGCTGGCTTCCAACAAGAATAGTCGATGTGGGAAGCTGTATTCACTTAATGACTGCGTGGTTCACTTAAGAACTGTAGTAATTTGTTTAACAATTGTGGCAAAAGGGGCATAAAATGGGGCAAAACTCAACAACTGCCTTGCTGAGCCACAGAAATTTTGGGTCAACTGTGGTCATAAGTTGAGTAAAGTACATATAGATGAAATAAAGTGGGGACAAAGATTTTCAGCACATATTCTTGATATGGATAGGACTGTCAAGTTATTGAGATAGAGATATAAATGTAACAATGTGTAGCATACGCACATACACACATATACCAGTTCAGGTTCTAAATGTAGAAATTAGATGTCACTTCTAACGTACAAAACCAATTTTTTTATGAATGCTTTGGAGGAGAGGACTGCAGCTTAAGTTCCAGTCAGTATTGGTAGGAATATAGGGCGTTTTAATGAAAACATTCTGACGATGCTAGATTGTTTTTTCTTAGGCTAAGTAGAAACATGAATCTTGGAATAGCTCCAGTATCAATACTTCTTTGTTTTAATCTACCTTTTACATGTGGGCATCCATTCTGAAATACAGGTTGCCCTTGGGTTATGATTGGGACCAACATTTCAACTGTTCATGGGCATAAAACATGGTGTCACGTGACTGCCTCACTTAGCACAGCAATCCTGGCAGTTTCAGCTGTCACTGTAACTGGAGAACTGCAAGGGTTATTAAGTGAGTACTTCACACAACATAGACAAAAGAATCAAAGTTATGTATCAGAAAGCGAAACATAAAACAAATTCCACATGAGAACAAAAATGTATCAGTCAGATGAAATTTGGCAATATTTACCAGGAATTAAAATTGGCTGTCTGCAATGAGCATATCAGTTTTTTATAACATGGACTTTAGATTCTGACAGCAAGATATGATGGTCAAATACTTCTTAGGCATTTTTATTAGGTACTGCAAATGGGAAATATAGACATGTAACAGTTAGAGATGTCATTCTCTTATGTACCCTTCAGTTGAGGGATACCTTTTTCGAATTGAGTGCTTGTCCTTCAGTAGTATCTGTGTTGTCTTTGTTATCGGTGTCTACTTCTTTGCATTCAGCATCATCTTCACTAGTAATGGGTCCGTTTTCACATAATGGAGTTTGAAAATCATCATCAACTAATGGTGGATAACTGTATTTGAAAGCATCCTACAACACAAAAAATACATTATTTGTGGCTATGAAAGAAAAGACTTGTGGATGGACAGGAAATGAAATTTTACAGAAAAGAAACTGGATTCAATTAGAAACAATCCCAAAAGTCATGTGGGTGGAACAGTTAACTTGATTCGCTTTTTAAGTGGCTCCTTTTCAACTGAACAGTTTTTGATGCAGCAGAAGGCGAAATTGTTTGCTTGTTTGTTTTCATAAATCTAGAATCTACAAGATTCAGAGGATTTGGTGGACTACCAAATGGCAGAAAAATCTCTCTTTGCTGCTAACACTGGAAAGGAAGTGCTAGGCTCTTGAAAAATCTGACTCGGTGTTTAAAGAAACATACACCTTCTACCAACTACACTTGGAAGGAGAGAAGAGTGAGGCCCTTAGCAAGCTGGCTGGAGAAAATGGCAAGTTTGAGAACTGGGTTGAACTGTGGGCTGCAGTTTCTAGCAGATAAAATATTTGATCCTAAGAAATACGCTACGATTGCACTATTTCCTGGTGATAACTACAGATTTAAACTGCAATGAAATGCCATATCTGAAAACTTTTTCCCCATTTGGAGTATCATACTTTCAGATTGCTTCCAAAGCAGTCATTCCTAGCACTGAATCTGGAAAAAATAATGGATATGAAGATTTTGGAGGGATTTGCACACCCTTAACACACAATGACTAAATATTTCTAATCTTTTATATTTTGTTATGCAAACATGAAGTCCTGTAATAATCACAAATGGTATTTGAAAAATATCATATAGGGGCTTACAAAACATGACCTTGGAGCTGGCTGATTTAACTAATTCATTATTGTTATCCCTGCAGCTGGCTGATTAAATCTAGATGATAAAAGACTGTATTTAACTTTTTTAAAAAAATCATAAACCAGAGAAAGTATAAAGTAGACGTAAAATAAAATGGAAAATTATAAAGACTGAACAAAAAGTTTATTTTCCCATTAATGACTGTAATTCAATATCAAATATATTGAGTGATTATACCAGAAAAGTAATAATTCCTTTATTAGAGTTATTAATAGTCTTCTCATATACATTATCATAACTGCACAATTGCATACTTACAGTCCCACCCATATAGGGGGGTAGGTATTCAGCAGTTATGTATTCCTGGATTTCATTCTTATTGGTCAACTTCAACAAGGTGGCTGCTTCTGGACCCAGCCAATTTTTTACAATTTTAAAAGCAGCTAGATAAAAAGGAAGGAATAATCAGGAGTAAAAGCTTTTTCCAACCTACTTTTATTAATATGACACATAATGCAAATTCACCAGATTAGTGCCATTACTTAAAATGGGAATCATATAGAATAACTTAACTGAGCCCCATGTTTGGGACAAACATGTTCAGAATCAACTGGGACATATGTAAATTTATTTAAATAAATTCATTTTTGACTTTCGATGCCTCAAATAAAATAAACATAGAAATCTAAAATATATTCATGCTGTTAATTTAACTGTTAATCATAAGAATATCTCTACCACTAATGAAAACAAAAATCATTGAAGAAATATTAACTTATAGTTTTTAAGATACTCTCTAAAGTTAATTTAAAATTGCAACTCACCATTCATTACCCAAGGCAATTCAAAAATCACAATTTTTGCTGCAAGAACAAAAAAGAGTTTTTATTTTTTTATTTATTCATTCATTCAGAAAATTTATTTGCTATCCATCTTGTATCCAACAACTCTGGGAGGCTTTTGTTTCCGTGAGCTCATTACAGAAAGTGTGCTTTGATAATTTTTAACTGCTACGTTTTTTCCCAATTCTCTCCCTTCAGAGGTATTATTTTAATAATTCTTATTTTTTTTTAAAAAAAGTTTAGTTTTTCCTGGAACTGTGGAGTGGTATAAACAATGCCTTTGGCTAAAATTAGCTCTTTTTTTGGTGGGTCTGGCTCCTGAATCTTAAGGATGAAACTAAATCAATCTGGTTAAAAAAAGTTAAATTGCGATCCAAGGGGCTCTTCATTGAAAATGAAAATGTCACAAGTTTACTTCATTAGTACATCTATAATACTGTTTTCAATTCAATCATCTTGCAGCATATAGAATCTTCCAAATGGATATAATATGTGCTAGCTTCTTACCTCTCTTTTCTCAGGCCAGAACTTTTTCTGGTTATTCTGACTAGGCCAGATCCACTGCCTTCTGTCATTCCTATACATCAGCATGGATGTCCTCAGAGGACAGCTCAGTAGTCCAATCCTTGAGGTACAGGTGAAACTCGAAAAATTAGAATATCGTGCAAAAGTTCATTTATTTCAGTAATGCAACTTAAAAGGTGAAACTAATATATGAGATAAGACTCATTACAGGCAAAGCAAGATAGTTCAAGCCGTGATTTGTCATAATTGAGATGATTATGGCTTACACCTCATGAAAACCCCAAATCCACAATCTTAGAAAATTAGAATATTACATGCAATCAATAAAACAAGAATTGTACATAGAACAATATCGGACCTCTGAAAAGTATAAGCATGTATATGTACTCAGTACTTGGTTTGGGCCCCTTTTGCAGCAATTACTGCCTCAATGCGGCATGGCATGGAAGCTATCAGCCTGTGACACTGCTGAGGTGTTATGGAAAACCAGGATGTTTCAATAGCGGCCTTCAGCTCTTCTGCATTGTTCGGTCTCATGTCTCTCATCTTTCTCTTGGCAATGCCCCAGATTCTCTATGGGGTTCAGGTCAGGCGAGGTTGCTGGCCAATCAAGCACAGTAACCCCACGGTCATTGAACCAGGTTTTGATGCTTTTGGCAGTGTGCGCAGGTGCCAAGTGCTGCTGGAAAATGAAGTCAGCATCCCCATAAAGCTTGTCTGAGGAAGGAAGCATGAAGTGCTCCAAAATCTCCTGGTAGACGGCTGGTTGACCCTGGGTTTAATTAAGCACAGTGGACCAACACCAGCAAATGATATGGCTCCCCAAATCAACAGACTGTGGAAACTTCACACTGGACTTCAAGCATCTTGCAGTGTGTGCCTCTCCATTCTTCCTCCAGACTCTGGGTCCCTGGTTTCCAAATGAGATGCAAAAGTTGCTCTCAGAAAAGAGGACTTTGGACTACTGAGCAACAGACCAGGTCTGTTTTTCTTTAGCCCAGGTAAGGCGCTTCTGACGTTTTTTGTTCAGGAGCGGCTTGACAAGAGGAATACGACATTTGAAGCCCATGTCCAGGATCCGTCTGTGTGTGGTGGCTCTTGATGCACTGACTCCAGCCTCAGTCCATTCCTTGTGAAAGTCCCCAACACGTTTGAATGGCCTTTTCCTGAGAATCCTCTCCAGGCTGCAGTCATCCCTGCTTCTTGTGCACCTTTTTCTTCCACACTTTTCCCTTCCACATAACTTTCTATTAACGTGCTTTGATACAGCACTTCGGGAACATCCAACGTCTTTTGCAATTACCTTTTGAGGCTTTCCCTCCTTATGGAGGGTGTCAATGATGGTTTTCTGCACAACTGTCAGGTCAGCAGTCTTTCCCATGATTGTGATTCCTACTGAACCAGACTGAGAGACCATTTAAAGGCTCAGGAACCCTTTGCAGGTGTTATGGCTTCATTAGCTGATTAGAGTGGGACACTTTGAGCCTAGCATATTGAACCTTTTCACAATATTCTCATTTTCTGAGATTGTGGATTTGGGGTTTTCGTGAGCTGTAAGCCATAATCATCTCAATTATGACACATCACGGCTTGAACTATCTTGCTTTGCATGTAATGAGTCTATGTCATATATTAGTTTCACTTTTTAAGTTGCATTACTGAAATAAATGAACTTTTGCACAATATTCTAATTTTTCGAGTTTCACCTGTATATGCTTCTCTCTGCTCTTTATACAGGGCATCATAGATAGCATCCATATATCCTAAAGAAATTATCTAAAAAAGATGATGGCTTCTATCTGTCATTTCTCCCACATGACATTTTTTTGGCTCTAACATCCTGGGTTGCCCAATTTGATCATGTCTCTGCTTGTGACTGAAAACTTCTTTTTGGCTTCATTTTTTTCTATTTTATCTTTATTTTAGCCATCACATTGGTGGCTTTAAGCCCTTCATAAAAATTTGATTTGATATGGATGGCTTCATACTTACTGAGAAAATTAGGATAATATACTTTAAAACAGCTAATGATATACCGAACAAAGTCGAAGTCCTAAAATATAAACAGATTATCAGTTAATAAAAAGTCAGCAGATATTTTGCTTAGAAATCACCCTAAAAGGCGATTTAAAGAGTTTCAAGCATTTTTATGTAGCATACAATACAGAAAATTGTATTTCCTTACTAGAAAAAAATATTCAAAGATTAAATATTAGGTAAGCTTGTTAAACTTATACACACTGAAGCAATCTATTCAAATTACCTGCAATGTTAACTAGGAGTATAGTTTTACTAAAACCCTCTGAGAGGTTGTATTAGTAGAGAACAAAAACCAATCCATGTGGCATCCTGTATGCACTCTCATGAGGTTTTTTGCTGACTAGTCACAATAAAACACTTGACTGTTTCATCAGAACACTGATACAAATGTGTTTTTCCCAATAGCTATATAATGCTGAGTTGCTGTTAGGTGTTAAATAGATTTCCATGGGACTTTTCAAACCAGCATACATTATTATATAATTTTATCCTGTTAAGTATATAGACTACTTATGCTAGCTTTTATTAAAGAGCTAACTTTGTGATTCATGAGCCTGTCAATCCAGAATACTTAAAATTTATGCCAAAGGGCAAATAATTAATTTAAATTTCAGTACTCTACTTAGAGGATTATCTAAGGCTGTTCCGTATAAATTCAATTTTCAAGCCACAATAATATGAAATAATTTTTAAAATGCTTACGATATTACTCAGTCCAGTGTCAGCCATGTCGAACACCACTGTCAATGGCTTTCCATTTTCTCTTTTTGCATAGCGCTCTAACCAAAAGGCTACTAGTTTCTTTTTTTCAAATTGTGTTTTAGAATCTTTTGTATGTAATTTCACTCGGAACCAAACTAATGTGGGGAGGGAAAAATACATATAAATGTGTGAAAAAGGTAAGACCAGCTTTCAGGCTATCTTTAAATGAAGATACTATTTGCTTTTTTTAACATGTATATTTTCTTTTTTTTTTTCATATGTCTCTGTAACTTCTTTATTCTTTTAATTTAAAATCTTAGAAGATAAAACGTTACAAATCAAAAATATTTTATACAGAAATCAGGTAAAATTAATTTTTCTTTTTTAGTGTGACATTAAAAATCAGTGTTACTGAATTAAAAACAATTCAATGTGAATGATTTGACACATATAACATCCAAAAATAATTGTCTATTTTAAGCTGCACAGTACCTGCTGCACATCTTAAAACAGGCCTAGAACACCTTTGAAAATTGCTATTTGATTATGCACCACTAGTTAAGAAAAATTCTGTATGTTTGATCTTTTTCACAACAATATTTTATCACATACTATACTATCACTTTCCAGGGAGTATTTTGGTTCACATTTCAACCTAAGTGTGACAATTCCTAAACTCTTTAGATATTCCAATTACTATAAAGCAGGGCTATCAAAACTCCCGGCCCATGGGCCAGATGCATCATAGGCTGGTCACACCCATGCCTAGTTCAGCAAATGGGGAAAAAAATTCCCGATAGGTCACGTGACACCACCGTGATGTGAGTTTGACACCCCTGTATAAAGGCTGTTCATTCTAAATTAAACATGTACACGTTAATATCTTGCAATGTCTAGAAAATCTAAAACGGCTAAAATTATGCTCCTCTAGCATCTTATAAACATATAGATTTCAGAGTTAACCATGCTGGGCTACACAAATGTTCAGAAGCTTGAATTAATTGAGTTTGTTCAGAATGCAGTTCTACCCTTTCTGTATTCATCAAATAAAACTGCTAACATTGCAGTGACAATATGGCCCTAATGCCTACCAAATTTAATGAGAGTAATTATTTATTTTCACTGATTTGGATTGTACCAGCGAGGTCTGAAGGTATGTTGCAAACTTCAGTAGGAAGACTGAAAACAGACAGAAATTTAATCAGAACAAGGATCTTTGTATATGAGCCTCAAAAGAGCAGCATTATGCATGGAAAAATCTACAGACCTCTGAATCCACTTTTATGAGATGGCAACAGTCAGTGTCACATTTTCTATCATTTCTTGTGATAGATTTCTTGTATAAAAAACTATTTTGTACACAATTTAGCCTTTTGAATTGCAAATGAAATCACAATCCTTCCAAAAAGAATACCAAATAAACACCAATTCAATCCACAATCAAAAAATCATTAGCACTTTCAAATTTAAAGTGAAATCTAAAGTATGTTATAGTTATATCACCTTTAATTAAATATAGTATTAGTTAAAACTCTATTTTTATACCTGTTATTAAAATAAAAAATGCAATTGGTTTTTTTTAATACAAATATATAAAAATTGCATTGCTCCTCTTTAATGTAGGTGTCAGTAGTTGTAAGCAATTTTAAATGTATATCGGTACTAAAGAAATATGATTTCAGTATAAACCAATCCTTGTATTACTTTAAATTCTTCATTCTGATTGCATTTGTATTAATAACTAAATAAAATTGTAAATTTGACTTACATATTTTAGAGCCCTCCTTATCGTAACCATGTAGATAAATAGCACCAACACCAAGCATCAATTTTGGAAAAGAAGATTCAGTCAAATCTGAAGAAAACGGTCGTTTTATTATTACAATAATTATTTTAGTATATCACATACTGTAACAGCAATCTAAAATCTTAAATAAAAAAGGAATATGAAATTGCTATTTTTTAATCCAAAGAAAAAAAATTAATCTTCTTTAGATTAATTAGAAATAACTTTTCTTTAATTTCCAATCACTACATTTTAGCCCAAAGAATATCAGTAATAGTTACAACTTAAACTGTAACATCAAATTTAGATACAAATTTTTAAATCTAAAATGGAGTTTAAAATATTAGTTCACAGTTAATTATATAATTATTCTTATTCTCATGTAATAGCTGCAGAACCCCTGACAATATAGGAATTAGGCAACCACACTGAAAATCTGCAAGCAAGTTCATGGTTTGATTCTTGGACACTGCACGAAGACTGCTGTGACTTAGATCAGCAGTCCCCAACATTTCTGGCTTTGCGGAATGGTGGCGGAAGTGGGGAGGGGGAGAAGGGATGGTTCCATGTGAGCGGCAGGTGAACATGCACACAGCTCCATTTGCACAAACAGAGGGCACGCATGCACGCTGCTCACATGAATGGGGCTTCGCTTTTGCAGGCACTTGCCCACCACTTTTGCAGCCTGCTACCAGGCCGTGCTCGGGGGTTGGGGACCTCTGAATTAGATGATAAAACGAAAGAGAGAGGGGGGTGAAGAGAGAGAGAGAGAGAGAGAGAGATTTTAATTGATTTAACTCTTCCATTATGTCACTAAAATTTCTATATTGTTGTATTTATAATAAGCACATTTATTATATGAAAATAAGGCATTAGATGTACATATGGTTTCTCAGGTACAATATCATGCAACCACATCACTTAACAACAATTCTTTGCAACAGTTCCGGTTTGCAGCGCTTCGGGGCAGGCAGGAATCCGCAATCGTGCACGGTTTCTGCCTGCGCTCGCCGCTGGAGTGCCCTGAGCCACCCGGCTTCAGGGCTAAGCCGCCCTGTAGTAGGTGGTGAAGACAGGGGGGATCTGGTAGGGTCGAGAGAAATCGCACCTCTCTTCCCTAGCCGGCTAAACTCCCTTTTCCGAAGGCGGTAGAGCGGCGGTCAGAAATGGCCGCCACAAAGAAGCGCTCAGCCGGGAAAGAAAGTGCAGTTGGAAGTTAAGAAGTGAAAGTTTTTTTTGCTGACCGGGACAAAAGTAACATCGAAGGTACCCTGAAATTTAAAATCTGCAAAAGATACATCGTTCCCAGAGACTCATAAGCGGCGAATGAAAGTTAAAAGGGAAAGTTCTTTTTTTTCCCACTCTCCTTCCTAACGTTGACAGCGAACAGAAATGAATGAGAAATCGGAAAAACCCGCTTTGGCAATAATAGGTAACTAAACTGGATAATTAAATGTCAAGGAGATAATAAGGATTTCTGAACACTTTAAAAAAATTTTTTTTGCTGTAAGTGGGAAGGGAGAGGAAAAGAATTGGAGCAGGATTTGGAAGCAAGGAGGAGATTGCCTAGAATTTTAAAGTATCATTAAATACTAACAAGACTTCTAAAAGATACATTTTAACCGGAATTTTGTAACTAAACAGTAACCCCCAGGAAGAGAAAGTGAAGAAAGAAAAAAGTGTTTAAAAGAAATAGTTTATTTGGATTGTTTGCTGACTTTGGGACTTTTGGAAATTATCCTTGAAGGACTAAAAACACTTGGGTGGTTGTTTGGAAAAAAATTTCTCTTTTTACAATGGCATCACTTGTGGATGAATTGAAAATTGAATTTAAAAAATGCAAAGAAGAGGAACAAGGGAAGGGCTCCTTTTTCAATTCTTAGAAATGGCGATTTGCACCTATGAGAAACTGACTGCACAACAAGAGGATTGGGACAAAGAAGAAGCCATCTTTGATGAACGAGTAACTTTATTTGGGGAAGAAAGGGAAAAGGGGGAAAAGAAAATGGAGACTTTAAGACTTAAAAAAACAACCAAAAAAGGGAAAAATAAGGTGAAAAGTGGATATAATGTTAGAAAACAACAGAAAGGGGGAATACAGAAGAGGGAAATGGAGGTGGAGAGACAAGGGGGTAAAAAGGGCAGGGAGAAGCAGCAGCAAGGGAGGAAGGAAGGGATGAGAAGTTTCAATGGTTGTGGAGCAAGATGTAAAGAAACAGGATTTATTTAGAGATAATGGGTAAAAACTTAATTGGAAAAGGGATTCTGCAAAGGTACATAAGATTGTATTGTTATATTTGTAATTAGATATAATGTTAGAAAATTGGAAACAACATGTGATTGAAAAGTGGGATAAAATATTCAGTGTAATTTAGTGCAATTTTTGTGAATAAAAGGAAGGCAATGAAATAAATGAGAGAACTGAAGTAGGAAGAAATGGGAACATTTTAATGATACAATGTTTTAAAATACAAATGATGTGAAGTGGGGGGGGAAATAATTATGGAAAGTTTATAAGTGTACCCATAAAAGTATGATATTCAACTGAAAAGTAATGTGTAAAATGTTTAAGACTCAAATGAATATTAATATTAATGATAGATTTGAATTGGTGTGGATTGTTGTTTTAATTATATTACATACTTATAATTTTCTTTTCTTTAAAATATAGTGTGTACCTTTAGAATGTACTAAGCAGAATCCAAATGGAAGTTATGTACTATACTAAGTGTTATAAATCTAGGGGAAAGAGATAAAGGCGTCATACTCTAATTAGTGTACAGGAGAAATTTTGTTTAAAGAGAAAAGATAATAGATAGCTGGAAACAGGACAGACAAAGAATAATAAGCATAATGATCTGAACTGAGATGAGATGAATAAAATAAAACTAAGAAAGTTAAAAGAAGGGAGAAGCTATATAGAAAATGTAAAATGGTAATAAGATATGGAATGGTATATAAAATGAACATGAATTTGAATTTGTGTCTGTACGAAGAGATGTAACCCGAGATCAAGCTGCTTTCAAAAAAGATGTTTTATGTTTGTATGTTTTATGTTTTGTTTGTTTGTGTATTGTCTTTGAAAATCAATAAAATTTGTTTAAAAATAACAATTCTTTGCAACAAGCAGTCCTGGTTGCTGTTGTTAAATGAGGGCCATGCAGGTTGTTCAGCAAAGACCTCACATGGTTATGAATTCAAACTTCCTGCCACTTTCCCCATTGACTTTATATGTAGAAAGCTGGTTGGGAACGTAAGAAAGCGCAATTACATGATTGCTGGGAAGCTGCAATGGTTGGAATTAAAAAGACCTGTCATAAGTACCATTTAGTCAGCACCATGTAACTTTGAACTTTGAACCTGAGACTACCCATATAAACATAACATGTTAATGAACGTATTTCTATGCCATTCATGTGATTATAGTTATATCCAGCCTTGAGATACCTGGTTTCATTTTTTTTCCAGTTTAGAATACAATTTCCTCTGGCAACAGTTACTTTCAGGTATTTCTTATCTTTTTTTATCAAATGCATATCAAAACATTTTTCAAACCAATAAGAGACATCTTACCATGAACTGCATACTCTTTCCTCCACTGAAAGCTTTCATCAATCATCTTCAGTGTATCATCCACAATATCATCTCGCCATATTAAGAAATTATCAACCCAGGTATCATCTTGATGCAATCTTTCTATATCCCTGGAATCATATTTATCTCTTTTTGCTGATCAATATGAATAGAAGATAGTTATTTAATATATGTTCTCATAAAAACTGGGTTATAAAGAATGTATTTAAAAGAAGTATTTGTAGCAAGCTAGTATTTAATTTATAAAATAATTAAACAAAATATATATCCTTTTTCTTGATTTATGAACATAACCTCCCCCCTCCCAAATTGCAAATGAATTTTAACCAATTTTCGAGTCCTTGAATATTTCAAACCTAAATGCCTGCAGAGGAAATGCTTTTTCAAAATCATATTTGAGCTAGCAGGAAAAATGCAGCCTAGTCTTTTTGGTATTGAGACGGCTGCACAATTGAATTGGAAAATCATATTTTTGATTAACCATAGAACTTTTTAAGTTTGGCTATCCATATGATTCTCGGTTTTATCAAAGAACTCATATTCTGTGAAAACCTAGGCAAAAGCACAAATTCAATATGAAAAGGTTAAATTTACAATAGGGTGGTGTTAAGTAATCACAATCAGTGTGTATTTTTTATTATAATTGTATAGTATGGCCAGGTTTAGTCTGCTTTTTTAATCTGCATTTGGTTTTTATCTTTAGATCAGGGCTGTCAAACTCACTGTCTGCAGGCCGAATGTGTCACACTCTGGCCACGCCCATGCCTGGTTTAGCAAAGGGGAAAAGTCACAATGTCACATGATGCCTCCGTGACGATGCAAGTTTGACACCCCTGCTTTAGATTATAGATAAATAGCATCATAAGCATGAAAATAAATGAAGCTGACTCAAGGAGCACCTGTTGTGGTTTGCTGGCAGGTGTGGACGGTTGAGGTCTCGGAGAGCGAGGACTCAGATGAGGGGCCTGCATGTGACGCAGGGATGGAGCCAGGACCATCAGGGAGTGGAATGCTGCCTTTGGAGATTGTGGAGGCTGGCAGCAGTGATGAAGAGGTCCCCAAGGAGCCTGTGCCCAGTGAATGTTCGTGCAGGGCTGCTCAAAGGAAAGAGCAGCTGCAGCAGCACGGGCGACTCAGGAGTAAGGCTGCAAGGTAATGGCCCCTCCCTTAAGAGATAAAAGCCAGCTGAGAAACCGGAGTTCTTTGCAGGAAGCAAAGAAGCTTTTGCACTCAAGCCTTGTGGACGTTCAGAGTATCTTGGTTGGTGTTTGGAGACTCTGTGTTTGAAATATTTCTTAGTAACTTTATCTAGTATTCTTGGCAGCCTTGCACAACCTTGGCAAGGCTCGTTCTTATCAGAGACAGTTTGAAACAGCCTTTTAACCATGAAGAAACAGAATTAGTAAAGAATCATTAAAAGGTTTTGCTGTTACCTCTGTTCCGTGTTTGTTTCCTTGGAACAAGGTTTGGATCAGAACAGCACCATGATGTAATGGGAAGATTGTTGCAATAAACAAATTACATTGGCAATGCATGAAGAGATAAGTGGAACCAAATATTTACCTCTTAATAATCTTCTTAAATCATGAGGATTTTCAAACTTAAAACTAGTCATTCACACAATCTTTAATAGTCACAGAATACAAATGTAAAGAAATCCAAAAAGGAAGACTTTTTAAAACTATGTACCTCTGACAATAATCAATATTTTTTTCTTTCCTATTGTTATAAATGTACAGGATAAACTATAGTTTGAACGGAATATTCATATTACCAACCTGATAAATATTCTGTCTCAAAACGCTGTCTGATTTCACTTATTAACGGGCCCCTGTTGCCCTGCTGAGAAAGAACACAAACTCATCAACACATTAAACATTGCTATTTTTAGGTTGAGCAAACTTTTTCAGTCTACTGTACTTTGGTTTTCTACTGTACTTCAAGTTCAAGTAATAAGTGCTAAGTAAGCAAAGCTTCTAAGCACATGCAGAGCTCAGGAAAATGTTCTGTTATTTTAAATATTTCATGTGTAGGCTGGGTTGCTTCATCTGAGAGTCATTCTACTATTGTTACTACCAGAATTACAAGTCCTAGAGGACAGGACTATTATAACTCATTCTGTAAAATGGGTTCTGCAAGAGGAGGCCTAAATACATTCCTCTTATATATAAGTTTTGAATCTCTGCTTAAAAAGTCAGTTTTAAACTATTTTTAAACCAAAGTTTCTTTGGTTGGCTTCCTCAAAAAGGAATACCTGGGGCCCACTGTTCTTTGCAAGAATGAGGTAACTTTTTAATAAGGTGACCAACTTTTTTACAATGAGGACGACACAAATAAAGTGAAGGAAAAAAACAAAGCCACTTGCGTGTGGCGCACTCTTGCTCACAATTCTGTGTGGAGCGCATGCGTCTCATAATCATTTCTTGCCACACTGTACCAAACCTTGATGAATCGTCATGTCAAATACAAATACTTCACATCACACAACGGATCGGATTGGCATCCATCAAATATGGAGATTTACAGATTAGTCTTCAAATATCAAAAAGGGGGACATGTAGGAGGACACTTTTCGAGACAGGACAGAACTTACAAAAGGAGGATTGTCTTCCCTTAAAGGAGGACGATTGGTCACCTTATTTTTAAGCACATCTGGGAAAGTTTCACAGGTGCTGATAGTCAACTGTCCCTGTGTAGGAGCCTCTGTATCTATCAGTGTACAATCAATCCTTTCTGACCAGTATAGTCACAGGTTGTGGGAAGAAGAGTTGTATGTAGAAACCTGGATTAAATCATCTTCTCTGAAGATCTGCCTTGCTAGACTCTAAAAAGAGGATGCTGTCTTCTTATCTCAGCCATCTGGCGGTGGAAATATACTGGACTATATTTAAGTTTTATTATATTTATATCCTGTCTTTCTGTTTTACCCATCTCCCCAGGTGAATTCATCGCATCCCACTCTCCCTAGGAGGGGAAAATACGAAGACTATTCTTTTTCCACCCCTTGTGGTCTCTCTTCCAGACTGCCTATCCTCAAGGCAGGGCACGCAGCTACTCACATCCGCCATGGTCCTGCTCACACCAGATTAGGAGCCGCAACAAGGCGAGCGAGAAAAAGGGAAGAAACACACGAACCAAAAGCAAAGGGTTGACTCAGACTGAACTAAGAGTTCACACCAGCCGGCGCCGGACACCTTCGGCGACAAACGCCGCACAACAGGCGTTCCTACCAGCCAATCCCCGTCCTTTCTTTCAGCAGCAGCCGTCCCCTAAATTTAAAAAAAAAAAAGCAGCGGAGAAAGCTCCCGCCCTCTGCTTCCGCATCCTTTGAAAGCGCGTCCAGCCCTTTGCCTGCGCAATTCCGCCGCCCGCTAATTGGTTGCGTTGGCGTCTCCTCAGGGAATTGGCGCCTGGGCGCTCTGCAATTTGCGAAACAGGAGCCAGCCAAGAATCAGGCCTATCAACCCGCCCCTTGCGTGGCGGGCTCTTTTGATGTATGGCAGTGGGAGTTCGTGGTTTCCGAGAAGGTCGGCTCCGTTGCCCAATGAAAGGGATGAACGCACGCTGGTGTCAAAAGTAAACGCGTGGTATGTTTTAATAAATATTTGTACCGTCATGCCCTGCTCCATTCTGCTGCACGTCCACGCCTTCGGTTGGGAAGATGGGAATCCAGATCCTAAGCACAGGAGGTGGGTGGGTAAAACCATTTTGTAGCCTGGATTATCAAGAGGTGGGTGTCCCTAGTAGCACCCGCCAGCTTGTCGGGGAATCTAGGATTTAAGCATCACAATGTTGTAATATGAACTCCCTTCAGCAGGATCTCAGCCCACAAAGGAAAAGGCAAGTTGAAGCATAGACTTGTTAATTAAAATTGAGTTTATGATTCCCATTGATACTCGATCCAATCAGAATAGAGCTGGAAGGGACCTTGGAGGTCTTCTAGTCCAAACCCCTACTCAAGCAGGAGACCCTGTATCATTTCAGACAGGTCTATTCTTAAAAACCTCCAGTGATGAACACTTACAACTTCTGAAAGCAAGCTGTTCTATAGGTTAATTGTCTTTACTGTTAGGAAGTTTCTTCTTCATTTCAGTTGTTCTCTCCTTGATTAGTTTCCATCCATTATTCCTTGTCTTGCCTTCTGGTGCTTTGAAAAATAAGTTCTTTGTGGCAGCCCCTCAACTACTGGAATGCTACCTAATATCATGTCATCCCCACTTCTTTCCACTAAGACTAGCCATACCCAACTCCTGCAACCATTCTTCATATGTTTTGGATTCCAGGCCTTTAATCATTTTCTGCCCCGTCCCACCACCAGCCAGCACTTTTCCTGCCCCGGGCCATCCCTACAGCCTGCGGCCATTGAGGAAGAGCCCAGGCCAGGAAAGGCAATCTGGAAGGTGCGGGAGTGCCACGCAAAAATGCAAGTAGCGTGGTGCGCTGCACCTTTGGGCCATCTCCATTGCCGCTTCAGTCCGCCTGTACTGCCAGCCCCCTCTTGCTGCAACAGCACCATTACCTCGTCCTGGCTGGCGAGGGCTGCGCTGCTTTTTGCAGGTTTGCACTTGGCTGAAGGGTGGGGGCCAGCGGGTGGGTGGGCCATGTGGGTGGCACAGCCTTGTGTTCTCGCGCATCCTGGATTAATTACTTTCGGGGGGGTTCTTTGAGGGCGATATTTCTCTGTGGCCCACCAAAATTTTCTCACAAGCCCACCAGTTGGCGACCACTGTTCTATGGCATGATATTGAGACGAGGAAATTCTAGGTTGTATGTCCTAACCTTGCCAACTTCCAGGTAGGTGGACTAATTCAAAAAATTCTTTAAAATGATCAACGAGCCTGTGGAATTGTGAGAGTTGAAGTCCCAACACCTAGAAATTTCTATAATTCAGATATAGAAATTAAGATCTAAATAATGCTAACATCTTTAATTTTGCTTAATTTTAATAGAAAATTGACATGTTAAAAAGCTAATATTGGCAAGATGGATAGCAGCTGCTGCACTTTTACACTTTTTTAGCTATATTAACAATGGATTTTGAGCAGATTAAGCTTGCATTTCAACAACGTGTTATGAACATGGAAGAACAGTGCAATGTATTTTGGAGGAGCCAATCTTAAGTACACTCAGAGACTTCAAAATATAGAATCTATAATATCAGACCTTTTAAAATGGGTTATCTCTAGTTTTGCAAGTAAATTTCAGACAATTTCATATGCAATGTCATCCTGTCTGCATGATGAGGATATTATTGATTGAATAGGTTAATATTTTATACTATACCTCCTACAGTGATATTCATGAACACTTCAGAATTTGAGATTTAATTTTTTACTCTTAGTTTTCATTTATTAGTATTTATCCAAAAAGGTTTAACGTCTTCAAATATTACAGACATTTGTTCTGTCACTTTTTGAACTTGACCATAGCTTGCTTAACTATCCATCTTAGTTCAAATTGCTTATACTGTTTTATCATATGTTTTATTGAGATTTTGGGATTTTACTATAATATTTATTCAGACACTCTTTTCCATAAAAAGGCTCCCATTTTAGCCATAAAGTAGACATGTGTTATTAACTTAGGGGAACAAAGACTTAACTCCATATAAACATTTGTTTATATCGATGTAAATACTTTATTTGTTCTGCTCTACCTCCCACTCAAATACAGCTGCGAAGGATTTTACTATGAAACATTTTAATGATTTTGTTGTGGAAAAAAATATACCTTAATAATTTCACCCTTTCTTACTGTAATACAGGAGTCAAAGATAATAGAATAGTTGGAAGGGACCTTAGAGGTCTTCTAGTCCAACCCCCTGTTCAGGCAGGAGATCCTATATCATTTCAGACAAATGGTTGTCCAATCTCTTCTTAAAAACTTAGTGTTGGAGCATTACAACTTCTGGAGGCAAGTTGTTCCACTGATTAATTGTCAGGAAATTTCTTAGTTCTAGATTGCTTCTGTCCTTGATTAATTTCCATCCATTGCTTCTTGTCCTGCCCTCAGATGCTTTGGAAAATAGCTTGATTCCCTTTTCTTTGTGGCAACCAGTACCTAGTTTTAAAAAATTTATTGTTTTGTTTTGGACGTTATAGGATTGGGCTGGGGTTTCCCCCCAAAAAATTTGGTATGTTACTTTTTAAAAAGAATATATTTATAATATTTTGGCTTCTTTTCAAGTACTGATTGTTATTTATTGAAGGTAAAATAATTGTTTTTTATTGAAGATAAAATAATCAAAATCTTTTGCAGTATTAATAAAGCTCTTTACATTTTCAGATTTATAAAATGTTCTTTGGATCAAAAATTATAGAAGAATCCTTGCAGTGGAATTCAGAGAAACACCAATCTTAATATAATGGAATCTTGTTAAGAAAAGAAAATGTCAATGGATCAGCAAGAAAAACTGTTGTCTTATAATGGGATACTGCTTCTTTTCCAACTATCAAGAGGGAACAATTCACAGAGTGATGATATCACAATTACTACATTGCATGTGAAAAGAATGACATTTGACAATGGCACTAAATTGTTTAATGAGGTGTCTACTGGATCACTTTGCATATATGGTGAAGATATTGAAATTATTCACTGCAGTAATGCATCTGACTTCAGAACTGGAATTCTTCACCCTTACATTCTTTTGAAAAAGAAGAAAAAGAAAAAAATTAAATATGTACTATTGTTATTTCATACCCATAATAAATTTGAACTGGTTTTGCAGTTTAAATTAGACTATGCAATCAAAGAACCTGTAAAATTATTGGCTGGTCCAACAATAATATGGTATTATGAAGGACATCTGTTACATATTTCTCCCCAAACTGGCACTGTTTTATGTGCCCCTATTCAGTTTTCTTCTATCCAATGGGCTGGTCAAGTTGAGGGTGAGGGTATAGTTGTTTTAGGAACCAAAGCTGCTGGTTTTCCAGGAGACAATAAACAAAATAATGCTAGGTCAGACTTGGCCATCTGGGGATATGAGTGTTTTGCATATGGAGTTGACAAACAAAAAGTACTATCGAATGCTAGTTTCTTGCCTCACGCTTATGGCAGTGTGGTGCGTTGTGTATATGTTTGCAAAATTGAAGTAAAAAGCAAATTTAAGACATCACTGATTGCAGTTACTTGCAAAGGCCAATTGATTTTCTTTCAAGATGGTTGGCCTAAACACCTTCTGCAGCTTCCATATGAAAATCCTTTTTCAGTACAAATAGCTGCAGTGGATGGAGATCGCCAATTGGTGATCGTAACGTTTGCTTCCGGAGATGTATGTGCTATATGGAAACATAACTTGCAGGTATTGAACTGATATTCTAAAACAATTTTTATTAGAATTGTGGATATTCTGTCATTATTTTTGTAAAATATTACATGTCTAGTTGTTCTGGTCCAGATTCATGAAAGAAATGTGGATGCGTGTACTGTTATTTTGCTTAAATGTTGAACATTCACTCAAACAAAATCTGTTCCCTGCAGTTATGATATAGGTCAGCTATTGTTTACATAGGAACTTAATGTGCATTATGGAGTTCTGACATATGAAGGTTTTCTTGGTCCTTGTAGACACCAAGCTTCTTTTCTAAAATGAGTGGTACAGTATTGACATCGTAATTTAATTGATTCACTCATTTTTAATTTCATATCTGCTCTGTGTCTTACTTAAATCCTTGCTCTTTATATCAAACCTGGCTGGACATAGTTATTTATTGGTGATGGGTTCTGTACAAGCTCATAGATAAAAATAATTTGTTTTAGAGCTGCAAACTCTCATTAAGTTATACACACACAACACACACGTATATGCAGGGGATAAGCCCAGGTTATTCTGGACTTAAATGAAATTCTAACCAATTTATTATTTATTTTGATTAGATCTAAAATATAAGCTATGGGAAGGATCATAGTTTTTAAAAGAACAATTATAAATTAAATACAATATTCACAGTTAGTGCATGGTAGATTATAAAATGCTTGTATTCAATCTTAGATTTACAGATCATGTTCTGTGTAAATTGACATTATGACAGCAATTATGAGTAAAATTCTTGTGCAATGTGAACTTACAGTTGCTGTATCTTAAGCTGCCTTTTCAGTAAGTACAACTAACATCTTTTAATAAATGTAAATAATGCCTGTCACTGCAAAAATTCCAGATAAAATGCTTTCTTACATATTTTAATCATGCGCTGTATGTATATAACTAATTTTAAAAAATCGTTACAATTCTGATTTATGTTCTAGGTAGCTTCTTGCTGGAAGAATGTGAA